TGATCATTTGTGCAAATGTATTCCTCTGAGTGTTAGCTTTTATTATTACGAGACAGATATGCTTAAATTAATAATTTAAAAATGCATGTATTTGTGCTGCATCTGTATCTATGGCAGCTACTTTGGAGTCCCATCACCAATTCAAGCATTTGTTTTCAGTGATTTTCCCAAAGTGGATTTCTATTGTAACCGTCTTGTTAATGTTGGTACTCAGATCATTTATTTATTAATAAATAAAATGTTGTACTTTAGTCATGGTGGAAAACAGCCCAGGGGCCCCAGAAGCCTCAGATTCATTGTGGGAATTTAAACATTGCATCAACCAAGGACGGCCAGTATTAGCTGGTCTTTTGGCCCTGTCCATTAGAGGGGTTATTCCTAAATAAAATGATCATTACATCATCATTATAACAGCCTGTTAGGACGGACTAATCTGTCCGTGACATGGGGTGGACCTCAGGGCCTGCTGGAGGTTTTTCCTGCAGGAGCTGTTGGAAGTGTTTCCCTGGTAACTAGTAGAGTCTTGTAGCAGTGTGTATTGTATAGTGCATAATGATAGGACATTCCTTTGGGTTGTAGAAGCATTTATTGTTTTCACACCACAAAGGCAAACTGTATTGATAATTTTACTCTTACAGTCCAGAGATGTATGTACATGTTAAGCTTGGCTCCAACTCTGTCAGCAAGGACTTGCACAAGTCAGGGCTGAAGCTGAGCTGCCCCTCTGGAGGAAAAAAGGAAAGAAAAAAAATGTTTTCTGGCTGCATAAACGCATGTAGCTCATAATTGATAAAGTTAGACCAAATCATCCAAGAGCCGTAAAGCGATGGCTTTTGTCCTTGGGCTGCACGTTACGGTAAAAACATCATTTTCTGATTATCTTGAGAGTTATTGGGATTGCGATATAACTAACTGATATTGAAATGATTGTTTGTGCACCACAGATTTAATTAAAGATCTGTTGTGACATTTCTGGCGCTCTGTACCAAAAAACGTGTTTTCAAGATTTGTAGGCCAGAATTACAGTATGTCTATAATTATAATGTGCCTCTTGTTACTTTTGCATCACGCCGCACAATGTTGCCTTATATAATGCTATCATAGGAACCATTTTTAGCTAGCTGGCTGGCTAACATAGCAACAGGGTCTGCAGCCCCTCAGAATGTCTGCGTCAACCCTGCCCGTCAGTCTTTGCTCAACCAGTGAGTGATTAAGAACTTTCTAAATTAACACAAACTTTTTTCAGGGTTGTTTGAGCTTTGTGGAAAACTTTTGTATGAAACTTATAATTTCATAATTGTGGTGAGAATGTGACAGAGCTTTTTCTTCAGAGCAGAAACTTGGCTCTGTTTTTCTAAAGTGTGTCAGAGTCGGAGCCGTGATGATCTGGGATCTCTAATTAGCTCCCCTTAGTCTCAAACTCATAATGGGCATCATTTATCAAAAAAAAAAAAATATTCAGACAAATCCGTGTATTTTTAATATATGCTGTGAAAACCAAAACACTTGGCTTTAAATTATACAGCACTGAGCTGTTAAAAACCTATTTGGGAGAATAATTTTAGTCGTAGACCATTTAAATCATTGAAATATGTAGGTGTATGGATTTTATCAGTAGCTGCTGTCCAATGGTATGAAATTGGAAAGAAACTGAGGCTACTCACTAAGCTGGTTTTAAAATATCAGGTTAGTTGGGGTTAAGTCCTGATTCCTGAACATCAACATCAAGATTTTTTCTTTCAAATTCAGTCCATCACTATAATACAGCCTCTTGACTTCAATTCAGGGCCTATCATGACTCTTCATGCAGTTTCACCCACTCCACATTTGGGCCAAACATGGCCTGGACCCAAAAGCCACTGCAGATGTGAATATACTGCAGAGGTGGTTTGTGAGAGCAGCGATAGCTTCAGATTAACAAACTGGGCTTTATATCTTGTTCCACAGACATTTTGGATTGACCCCTGCTCAGATAAGCCCCGCTCGGCCCCGATGTGGAAACACGGTGGCTGATTAGTTTATTGAGGGCAGCGAAGCGCAGAGCCGTAATTCACCAAAGAGTTTTATTGCCTATTCTGCTCAGAGTTTATGGGATCTTTTCAATTAGTACGGTCGCTGCTGTAAACAGACCAGTTGCTCTGTGTCTTGTCAGCTTTATGCACCACTGCCTTGTTACAATCAGACAAATACACTTTAAAGACCCTGATACTTAAACAGAGGCAGCCTGTGAGGTTAGGGAGCTGCTGGCCCCGGACCAGCTGAGGAAGAGGAGGAAATATTGAGAAATAAAATTCTCTCCTTTAACAACTGATGCTGATGAACTCTTAAAGGGTGAGTGTGGTGATATTCTGACCCAGAGACTGATATATCGTATTCCTCTGTGCCATAGCGGCCTGGTATAACCAAACAAGTCTAAATAACACGCAAAATTCCTTGCTGCCTGTCATCCCCCTTCTCTCTCGCCCCCTTTCCTGTCCATCTCTCAAGCTGCCCTGGCAAATAAAGGAAAAAAAGCCTCCCAAATAAATATCTAAAAGAAATAAACCTGCCTCCTGTGTGAACTGTCCGTAGCTGTAGGGTCAGCCTACGCTACTGTATTTAATGTCGACATGATGGTGATCCTTAGAGAGCCTGATAATGTCTGCGGTGGTAGGTTGTGTAAGAAGTTTAGGGTGGGGTGGATGGATGGGTGAAACAAACACAGAACTTTCACCCAGTAGCCTTCTTGTGTTCTGTGTGAAACCAAAGGTCATTGACTTATTGACTCATTTTAACTTATGTGTGTGCTTTAACCCAAACCCTGATGTTTTCCTAAGCCAAGTCGTTTTGCATAAACGTAACCAAACTGTGACAATTTCACAATGTTAACCAAATGTTTCTTATTGTTACCATGATCAGGGAATCTAGATCTGGAGAAATGCAAGAGGGTGGCATGGAGACTTTAGGAGGTGGCAGAATCATATGCTGATTTATTGGCAAACAATCATATATAAGGATATTTGCTTGTAAAGGCCCCCAAATGAAGATCTCTGAACTCAAAAACATTGCGTTATTGTAGCACATTATTTAAGCATTGATCAAAAGTATCTAAATGTGGCATCAGAAATGAATAAATGTGTTATATTTCTAAATCTTCCAACATTGTTTCAAATATTTCATTCAACCTCAGCCTTCCACTTAAATGTGCCCATCGAAGATGATTAAATGAATTTCCGTTTTTTAAAAAGTTATTTTCAAAATTAATCAACATAAATGTGTTCAATTTGACAGCATTCAGCAGCCCGTCATTTCTTACACTACGGTGACAAACGTTCACCTGCCTATTCTTACCAAGATGACGAAGGTCAACTTACAAAGGTCCCTTTCCTGTTGTCTGAAGCTCAACACCTGCACCATCTCTAGCAGCCTTAAATAACAAGTAAAATGGTTAAAATGTGTAGAGATAGAGCGACATTGCTGTGTGCCATGTTCCTCCATTAACATGAACACAAACATTATTTTGACTCAGTCCCACATACACTATCCTGCTGCCCCAAATACTCACTAGAGCACCAAATGTGGATTAATCCATCAGGGAAAATAGTTCCCAGCAAATGTACTATTTGTGCATTTGCTGAAAACTACAGTACCAGCTGTTTTAGCAGATTACTAAGCCTTATTTAAATACATTAAACTATATATTTACAACCTACTTTTAATGAATTGTAGGTTGAGGCTCAGGGGTTGAGATGCCACAATGTCCCCAGTTTGAATCGAGCTGGGGAGCTTTGGTGTACCTCTCTTTCTTTCACCTCTCCGCTGTCCATAACAAAGACACATAAATACTCTTTCTTCAGCAGATACTAAATGTTGTGGTCTTCTCATAATGAGCTATCATATTTGACACCTTCAGAATTCATATAAATGCATTTTGTAACTGTGTTTTTCTAAGCAACATCTATATAATCCATCACAAATCTTGATAATTCATGGAAATATGTCTTCATTTTGAAATAGTCCTGGTTATCCTTTGGCATTTAAAGTTAGTAAAAACTTTCACGAACATAAATGCAAGCACAAAAGCAAAATGCTTTGCTAATGCAGCATTAATGAGCGTTTCTTATTTTGTACTGTAATATTTGATCTCTCTCGCTCTCTGTTCTTCAAACTGAACAAGCATCACGCAGACAACAGCTTCTTCTCTGGAGGAAGAAAATGAGCCTTTGATTTCTACAAGTATGCTGAGTGTATGCGGAGAGAAGAACCCAGAGGAGAAGGAAAACAGTGGTATTACCCTTTAACCTTTCTGTTCCAGTGAGACAGCAGAAGTGGTTCTACTGAAGAGCTTACACGAATTTATACATCTGTCAGCCTCAGCAAACCCTTTTCTCTTCATAAATAACACCAAAAAATGTCACCGTGAGCTACTTTTATAAAGACTGCTGAGTGCATTGTCTCACAATCTGCCATAGATTAAAGGAGGGTCGTGATTTTGAGTCAATGCACAGCACATTTTAACATTTATTGTCTGGAGGCAGATTCATTGTGCAGGAGCAGCACAGAAAACAGAGCACGGGATGCAAAACATTCACCGGTTTATAGTAAAAATGATGAGTCCCCCCTCAGTGACAGTGCCAAGTCAGAAACTGATACTCAGCACGAGCAGCGTATAAAAGCACCTTAATATGAGTTTAACAACAGTCTTGTAATGTGTAGCAGAGAGCCGTTGCTGATGCAGAGACAGTGTAATGTGACTGGGATGGATTTAATGATGGGAATAAAAACTAAAAACCCTGCAGGTCATAATTGCTCGCAGAATTGTGTCTCTGCACGCTGAATGTCCTGAAAACATCGCGCTGGTGTCATGGTGTTAAAAGCGCTGTTAGTAATGATGCCTCACAATTAATTGGCTGATGATGAGGCTAGTTATGATGTAATCTCTCTCACTCTCTCTCTCCTGCACACAGCCAGCCCCCTCCCCTCTCTCTCTCTCTCTCTCTCTCTCTCTCTCTCTCCCTCGCTCTCTCTCTCTCCCGTATCCCCACCTCTTTCTCTGTCTTTCTCTCCTATCCTAACCAACATGGCCGCTAAGTCGGATGGAGCAGCGGTGTCTGTGGAAGATGACAACACGCCCAGGAGCCTCTCGGAGCCGGGGAACCCCGCCGCCCGGCCCCGCTGCAGCGCCGCGGGCGGGAAACCCTACACCCTGCTGGACTGCTGCTGGGTGCTCTGCGCCCTGCTCGTCTTTTTCTCCGACGGCGCGACCGACCTGTGGCTGGCCGCCGACTACTACCTGAGAGGTGACTACTGGTGGTTCGGCTTGACGCTCGTCTTCGTCGTGGTGCCCTCCGCTGTCGTCCAGGTATTGAGTTTCAGGTGGTTCGTGTATGACTACTCGGATCTGAGCGGCGGGGATGGAGCAGCGAGCGGCAGCGGGACCGGCGCGGCGGCGGCAGGCGCGGCAGCCACGGCGGGCGACAACAGTTTAAGCACCAAGGACAGCGACCAGCGCGGTGGGAGCGCGGCGGTGGGGAACGCCGCGAATGCTACCCCGGTTTACTCGTCCTCTGGCCCGCCTGCGACGGCAGGGAGAGTCGGGGCCCCCCGGAGGTGCTGCACCGTCTGCATGTGGGTCTTTCAAACCGTGCTTCACGTCCTGCAGCTGGGGCAAGTCTGGAGGTAGGACCACTGGGGTTCTGTGGGGAACAAGAGGGGTGTGAGTGCGTGTGTGCGTACGTGCTGCTGCTGTGTGTTTAATATGTGCACGGTGCACATGTGAGCATTGCATTCCCAACACTATCCTGCTTTGGAGATGTGTGTGCGTGTGTGTACGTGCTCGCCACGCGTATCTGCGTGTGCGTGCGTCCATGCCCGTTGATTTGCATGTGTGTGCGCTGAAATATTACCTTTTTCTTTTCATCCACTGGTGACCGAAACGTGCAGAAAATCGAGCAGGGGAGAGTAAAATTCTTTTGCCTCAGAGCTGAATCTGCAGCTTTTACTTTCAGCACTTACAACAGTAATAGTGACAGTATGAATAACTCTCCCATGAGCCTTTTTGTCCAGCTGCCCTTCTTGTCCTGATTGTGACAGAATCTGGATGGTTTCATATGGTCGCCTGAGCTCTAACATACAGTTTCTGTCCCTGGTTCCTCTGCCTGTCGCGGTCCTGACATGTTGACAGGAATATAATCAAAGCTCTGTGGTTCAGACCTCGCTGCACTTCTCCTCTGGCTGCTTGTCATGTTAGTGAATCTTGAAACTGAACCATTTCTTCCTCCACACTGGGGGGGGACTGTAGTTTTGGATGAGAGCATCAGTGAGCCCGATAAAATGTAAAATGAGAGGATGCATGGGCAAAATCTTTAAAGGAGCATTCCACCCACAACACCTCCAAACTAAAGTCCTCTCCTGTGCTTTAAAATGTGTTTGTTCCTGTAAGAGGTGTGTGTGTGTGTGTGTGTTTTTTTTATTCCTCCAATGTGTGATTGAATATGAAAGATTCACAATGTTCCATGTCTCTAGAAATTTTATATTTTTTTAAACATTTGAAATGAACAATTAACATCTTGTGTACTTCAGGTTAACACACCATCAGCTGTCAGTTCATCACAGATGTGATATGAAACCACAGTCTATGTTAAGTCAATCAAAACCACAAGAAAACGTCTCTTATAAGCAACCAACTGGCAGAAATAAGAATTACAATTTATATGCAGCACCTGGGCTGTAATCCAGTCCACTTTAGTCCAGTCTGAGCAGTTTTCAGTCAAGACAGAGACAGAATGTGTGACAGTCAACGGTAAAAGTTCAGTCCTTTGGAATTTCTTGTTTTACTTTACCTTTAGTCAGTTGATAACCAATTCCCAATTACAATGATGACCTGGCCAAGAGGCAGCGACAGGAGGCATGTCGATACAATAATTAAAACATAGATACAGCTAGTGCAACAATATTACAACAGTAGTTAAAAAAGCACAGTATATACAGTATACACACAACAGAGAACTTCCTCAACAGAGAGGCAAATTCAGAAGCAGGTACAGTGATCAGAAACTGAGGCATGTAATACATTTGCCTAAATGTTGCATTATTTTCTTCATAACACCTCTGAAAAATGTATATATACAGTTACATATACAAGTACATATAATACATGATTATATTGGAAATAAAATACACTTGCACTGTTTCCACTTTTGTTACTTAATAGTTCAACTTTACAACATTACAACAACTGTATGATAAGCTTAGCAAATATAATGCCTTGTTCAAATTAAAACCAGAGGTTCCCAAGGTTTTTGGTGTCTGAAGAGACATTTGCCCTCTGAACTTCTCAGCTTTTATTTAAACAACCGTTCAAGGCCTAAAGAGGCAAAACGCTCACAACAAGAGACACTATAATAACAGAAAAGTCAAGAAATGAATATAAAATTGTGTTGCAGGAATTAGTTTTTTCTTCTTTCATATCCCATTTACCATCTCACAACCTCTTCGACTTTCTGTGTCTTGCAACACTGCTTCTAGATTGGGAACCACTGGGCTAAACTCCACCTCGAGCAGCTAAAATGGCACTTACAAGTTGATGCAACATTAGCTGTCTCATAATGTAAAATATAATATAATCTATAGTCACAGGGGTTACGTTTCTGTTTTTTAGTACTTTACCAGGATACATTTGACTGATGATATTAATATATTAAATAATTTTACTTAAGTAGGATTTTAATTGCAGATATTTTACTTGCAATGGAGCATTTATTCTTACATCTTAGTACTGGTACCTATCCTTGAGTAAAGGTTCTGAGTGTTTGCTCCACCATTGCAATCTACCTATGAAAGTAAGGTTGATTTGTGCATATAACACATCTAAATTGAGGATGTTTAAATGGCAAAGATGCACCGTAGAATATAAGCACCACCTGCACAGAGCCTCATGTTTGTCCTGCTACGAGAGCAGCCACTGATGCTAGGCAGGAAAGCTGAAACAAAAACATAGAAAGAAAAGAAAGAAGCCAACTAGACTTGACCAAAAGAACAAAGACTGTAATAGATGAGACTGAAACAAATCAGAGTCAAAACACCCACAAAACTGAGACGAGTCTGAGATAATAGAAAAAAGCCCTGAGGCTAGACCCTGGACCCGGACCAGACTTGAGTAATGCAGTACTAATATACAAGTGTTACAAACAACAATGTTACAGTGGAGACAGAAAATAGTTTAAGTTGTACCCCGCAGAACCTGACAGAAAAGTTGTGCTGTAATGAAAAAACTTTTTTTATTAAATATGATATTTTCCAGAGCCGGTCAGGCTGCCGGCTCAGCAGGAAGCTTTTTTTTTTTTCATCTGCCTGTTCTGTTAATGTTGTTGCAGGAAGTGTGTTTCTTTGTTTAAGTTATCTCAACATTTAGGAAAAACACAATTTTTATCGTCTGACATTTCCACGACGAGCTGTCGACACCTTTGAATTGACTTTTTCAGCCTCTTTTAACAGGGAGGTTAAGGGTCACTGAAGCAAGATGTGCCTTGCTCAAAGACCCTTGAACAACAATGGCATGACAAATAGGATAAAACACTGGTTAAGATTGCAATGAATTCTACCTCTCAGAGAGGAATTAAATCACTTCTAACAGAGCCATGTGAGTAAATGGGTTGACCACCCTGCGGAAGTGTTTTGGAGTCCCTTAACTACCTGCTGCAGGGCTGACCTCTGACCCCTCTGTGAATGTAGAAGAAGACAGAAAAAAACAATATTTAAACTGATGTTGCATCCAGTAATTCGGAAATAGAGCATGTGGGAATTCGCACAAGTATAATTACATGCAGACTCTGTAATGAACTGCGTTAATGAACAACAATAAGATGCTGAGAGCTGGAGAATGAGAATGAGTTTGTTTTAATGTGATAGTTGCCGGGAGAGTTGGACACTGCTCAGTGTGTCTCCGATTTGAATCAGACTTCAGTTTTAAATTTGATGAGCTGAGATTCATTCAGCATGTGGAAATGGCTCAGGAGGTGCACCTGCAGCTGAATAATCCCATTTCAGATTCCCCCCTTCCAATGTGATTCAGGTTTGATCTTCTTCTTTTCTCATGTGGTTTATTCTACTAAATCAAATCCTGCAGTATGAAACCTGCATGTGGTATGCATTTTGATTCTCAAAGCTGGAATGTGTTAGCTCACGTCAATCACCCGAGGAACTGACATGATTTTGCGTCAAAGCAACTCGGCAGAGCCAGCGTGAGGAGAAGATGCTAATACACAATGATGGAGAGAAAGAAGAAAAGCCAAAAGAAACAGAAAGTTACTTGACTGGCATTTGGGTACAGGCCTAAAATCAATGAAATTACACTGCAGAGTAAGTGCATTGGATCGGAGCTTGTTTTTGGCAGTAGAAAATAGGCTGTAACTTACTTTTATTTACAAAAAATAGACAAGAGGTATTTTGGATACCTTGTTGTGTTTGTCTGCCCCTCCCAAATTTACAGTTTTTCCCTGTGCACTGCCAGATGGACCCTGGCTACCCACAATCGGGAGACCTCACCTCAAAAACAACAGCATTAGTCGTTGGTTCAGATGGTGGCAAAGTTTGTTATAATTCCACAGAAAGTCTTATGGAGGATCCTGAGATGGATGGTTGGATGTGTCTGACTTGGACATGTGAGACCATCCTGTCTTCTACCAACCTTCTTTTAACCATGACTGCTATCTTTCCCTAGTTTTGAATATAATATGAAATATATCAAATCTATATCTAGATACAGTATCTATATCTAAATCTATAAAATATGTCACTAAGTCAGGGGTCGTCAGTTTACAAAATTATAGAAAAGGGGTCCCTTAAGGAAAAAGGTTGGGAGCCACTGGTCTAAACCTAACACATGTGAGAAGCTATGTTATAAAAGGTGAATGGCTACGTTTATATGGTGCTTTTATAAAGAGTGCTTTACAAGGTTTTTGCCACTCAAACACACTGACCATCAGGAGCAATTTGGTGTTCAGTGTGCTGTCCAAGGACCAGTGGGCGACCGGCTCCACCCATGAGCTACAACCTCCCAGCAGTTATAAGGGTCTTTGTAAGGAAATGCCATGTGTTCTATTTTGTCAAAAGTATATGGACACCCAAACAATATTTCTTTATGGACTTATAATGGACCTTACAAAAGTTAGTCATTGTTTTGGTGCCAACGTTTTTTCCCTGAGTCTCTGCAGTGTAAATTAGATTTGGTAAAGCTGATAAACAGTTAGAGGTACCAGATGCATATTTAATCTCTCTTTAACCTTTATTCATTCAGAGAAGATTGTGTTTCTGTGTTTCTGTCTGTCTGCTGCATTTCCTGCTGGCTAAACATGTTTTAATATTCAGCCTGTTTATAGCGAACACCTCATTGACTTCAAATTCTTTGCAAAAGTCTTCTACGGTTTTGGAACATTTTCTGATTTAGAATCAGATAGAAAAATTAAACCTACACTGAGATGAAATTAGTTTCTATGTGACGGCTTCAGCAAACATCCACTGAGCTTTTGTTTTTTTTTAGAATTCAAATCACTGGATTAAGGAAAAATCCCTGTTTTTGCTGACTTTTATCATCTTCCTTCTTTATTCTGCATTTCCCTGTCAGTCATCAAAGGATAATCCATGTAAATACTGATGGACAAACAGAACAGCTACTGGTG